GATGATGATGATGATGATGATGATGATGATGATGATGATGATGATGATGATGTTTTCCAGCAGTTGTTTAGATATGTATAGTAAATCACATGATATGATATGATATAGTATACAGGTGAAACCTTATGTTTGACATGGTGTCGAAATCCCTTCAGAGGGTGGTGACGAATTGGTTTCCCTGCCAGCTGCATGAAAAGGCTGCAAGGGTGTCCATCGTGTGAGTCAAGTGGGTCCTTCTCTGTCTTTATTGTTTTCAAACATAGGGAGTGCCGGGCAGCCTTGGCAACAGGAGGATGCAGAAATGGAGAAGGAGAAAGATTCGGAGAAGGATAAGGACTCGGAGAAGGAGAAAGAGGATGATGAAGAAGAGGCCACTTGGGTTGTTGGCTAGAACAGATCATGTTGCCAGAGGCTTCTATACCAGAGCTGATCATGAGCAGAGCTGGGGGAGAAGCTCCCAACGTTTGAGAGCTGGGTTGTAGCTGCCGGAGGGGTTCGTCTCAGCATACACTTGTTCACAGATATGCCAAATCCTTTTCAGTAAGTCGGTGGAGAAGTTGAAGAAGGCTGCCGGACAGCCAACGTCATTGACTATCCTCCCGTCAGGTGAGCTGATTACGACGAAAGGTCCGCAACTGGACCCTTTGATACTGTAAGTCTAAGTACTGAAGTCAGGAGAAGACTCAGTCAAGAATTCACTCAAGTGCTGTTGACCGCAAAGTCGTTGACTTTCGCAGGAGGAGAAGCCTGAGCCGAAGGAGACGAAGCCTGAGGCGGACAGCGGACGAAGCGGAGCCAGCGGACGAAGCAGAGAGCTGACATGGAAGTCCGGGACCTTTTGGCTTGAAGGCCTTCTCTATCCAACCGGTCATGGCACCCTGGTTTTTACCGTGGATCCCATGGTCGCAGATTCCTCGATGGACGAGGTCAACCCCGATTTGGGGCTGCCGGTGCCATCCACAGCTACATCAGCTTGTGTTCCAGGTGTTTGCTGGGTAGCCGGGTATCCACTTCGACGTTCGCTGAGCCTGGCTGCACGCAGTCAACTGGAAGCTCGACGACCGATGAAATTCCTGTTCCCAACCATGTTGTCCAGTTGCTCAAGAAGCTCGTGTAGCAAAGTGTACCCCCCAAGTAGATGGCGCGACAATTCACTGCATAAGTTATACAAAAATCTCCACAACAATTTGCCAGACCTCAAAGAGGACCAACGGCAAAAGAACCACAGAACAGCACCTGTTCAAACCACATTTCACGTGAGTTTTGGAAGTCTCACACCTTCAAACCCCTCCCGTGGAGACCCTCCAGTGGACCCTGCCCGTGGACCCTGCCGTGGACCCCCTGAAAACTGCTTGAGGCTCCTTCGACTCGTTCTCCCGAGTTCTCCCGAGCTCCTCCCCTTGGGATCTCCTCCTCCTTCGCTCCTCCGCCGCTCGCTTTCCTCTCTCTCCCCGCTCCGCGTCAGGCGCCCAAGGCAGCGAGCGAGGACCGGGAGTCCGGAAGGGGGTGGTGGGCCGAGGCGGAGGCGGCACCAGGCTGCCTGGGTGAGTTTGGAGCGACGGAAAAGGACTTGAAGAAGGAAGATCTGGTGGAAAATACGGAAGATAAGTTGGTTGAAAGGGGGTAAGTCTTGGGCCCAAGAGTTTGTTGAGGGTGAGGAGGCTGGCCTCTCAGTGGTGAGGAGACACTTCCTTTCAGCGGGTCGAGGGACGCTGGGAGACGCGCAATCCGCCTCGTGTGGCCCTTTTTTCTGAAGCTGTGAAGGCTGAGACAAGTCTGTTGCAAGGTGTGTGTGTGTGTGTGTGTGTGTGTGTGTGTGGGGGCAACACATACATGTTTTCGTGGCGTTTTGTCTACAGGTTTCTGCCAGGTGCCAACCCGAAACAAAACCGTAACCGTTTTTGCGATATTCTTCGCTTCGCGACGTGGAAGAAGGTGCAAGGTCCTGGCACCTTAGGGCCTTGCTCCCCACGCGGCAGTGATGGGTCATTTCACCGGCGGCAAATAGATGGAAACCCGAATCCTATAAAACATTTACACTCCTTGCGCATGCACGTGCGCGCATGCACGGTGACGTGAGGAGAAGAAGGAGCTTCTGCAGCAACGCGCAGAACTCAAGATCCTCAGAGCCATCAACCAGGCACTGGTGAGATGACTGAGAGGTGTGGCTTGTGGAGTGAGCAGTTTGCGGTACCTTTGGTGGTTGGGGTGAGAACCCTCAAGTCCAATGTTTGATCCGCCAACCTAAGCCGTTCATATTCCCTTGATTCTCTTTCGGCTCGCCACAGTGCTTGGTGAGGGATTGCAGCCATCCAAAGCTCGTTTGACTCCACCTATTCCGAAAACCACCTATTCCGAAAATGGTCATCCAAAAAGGGGCATGTTCCACTTCCAGGAAGTGCAGCAAGAAGTCCGTGGAATCAGTTTCGACCTTTTTGATCCCCCTGGTGACTCCCGAAGGAGGTCGCTTCAGATCTTTGTGTGGCTTTTGGAAGGAGGTCTTCAGAGTCTTCCTGGTCGCAAACCCGCTCATCAACTCTCTCCTAGTAGAAATCAGCAGCCCGCTCTGCCGTGCATCGTTCCTGCATCCGCTCAAGACCATCCGTTCGTGGTGGCATCCGTTGAGGTTCTTAGCCCCCCGAGCGCAGCCGCTCCTCCGCGCGTCTCCGGACGTCGCCCGCTGGCAGGTGCGGAAGGCCAACGCGAAGTCCTTCGCGGAGGCGGGGGGGGTCCGGACGGTCGATGAAGCGGGGAGAGAGCGGGGCTCAGCACGGCGAGTGAGTGGTGCTCTCCGCGGGGAGAGAGCGGGGAGAGGTGTGTGGTTTTTTGGGGGGTGGAGGTGCGGGGAGAGAATGTGTGGCGTCATTTGTGTGTGGGCCCAGATGGTGAGGTTGCCTTCTTCCAAAAGGCAGTTTTGTTGGTCAGGGAAGGCAGGGAGACGCTTCTTGCGATTCTTGTGACACTTCTTGGGGGTGAAACGCCACCTGCTCAGTACTTGTCAAACACTTTGGATGATTTTCTCCCGGATCGTTGGGAATTGGTGGGGAAGACATGGTGTTTCTTGACAGATCGCGTGCCCGGGGTTCAGAGCGAAGCATACCAGGACCCTCCAGGCTCGGGGTGTCTATTTATAGCCCCTAACTAGCTGTGATTCGGGGTGTCCATGTCTACCACCCAACTCCCGGGGGGGTCCTGGTAAGTCTTGATCCGTCGATATTTTTTGAGACATCGCCATTTTCCAGGTTTCGCGGCCCTGGATTCGCGGGACTGGGACTTCCAAACCTTCTGAATGCCCCTGAAGCTCCAAGCACGAGTGCGACTGGTGTTTGTGGGACTCCTGCGCCACCCAGCGAAGGGATCCAACTTCACCCCCAAACATCCAAAGTGTCCTCAGAAACTGACCCTCCAATCACTGGCCGTCAGAGATTCGTCTTTCTTCTTCCCACAACTGGGGTCTGAGACGGGTTTACAGCCAGCGGTTGGCCTGGGGGAGGTATGATGAGGAAGCTTCTGAGCTTCATCTCTCGTTGCATCAGGGCTGTATTAGAAATAGGCTGTCAAAACCGGTAGATCGACCGCTTGACCACCCAAAAGGAACAGAATCGATTATATACGTTTGGGAGGTCAACCTACCAGGGATGAAATGGGCTCCGGATATATGTATCATGTGTATATTTATTCTTTTCCGAGTCAAGTTCACCCATTTCTGAGCATCGATCTGAATCGAAGCTTCATCAACTGTCGTTCCTTCCTTTCCGGAACTTCGTCAAGAGACTTCGCTCATTAATATCACGAATGACTTCGTGGGGGTCTCCCCTCTGAAAGTGCTAGTCAAAACACCGTCTACGTACCATGCAGTCCCGACCAACTGGTGGAGTCCCTATCCAATCTGATTTGTTCAAACAATCCCAGGCGGCCGCAAACCTAAAGCATCTTGGCGGAAGGGTGGGGCCGAGGGAGCTGGAGGGAGCAGGAGCAGTGCTCGGAAGGAGATGGATGCTACAGCTTCGCTCCCTGTGGTCCCGTGGACATGGTTTCATCTATTTCCCCAGCAAAGTTGTTTAGATGACTTTTGGCCTTGGATCTTCCGTCACTGGGAACCCAGTCCAAACCAGAAACCGACGGTGATTCCAATGTGGTAGCTGAGATCCACTTGTTCAAGTTTATGGAAACAACACGAAACAACCATTTGGACCATTTGTTTCTTGTTGTTTGGGTTTGGGGTAGGGACCTTGCAAGAATTTGTCCTTTCCACAATTCCCAAAAGTTACAGGTGTCATCACCAGCCAGGGTGTTCTCGAACACGCTGGTTTTGGGTGACAAAAAGATAGGCTTCCTATAGAGTGCCTCGAACGCGATCCGGTCCAGTGCCTCAAACGGTCCCAAAGGTCATGGCATCAGCCAATTCCCAAACGTGTGTGGATTAATGCGGTGAACAACTGCACTGAAACAAACGTGGGATTGGCATAGCGAAGGATGCATCATCCATTCTCAACAGACTGGTGCTTAGTAGGGAATCAGGGAATGAGCCCCCAATAGAGATTCTATTGGATCCATTCCCTCATTCCCTGCGAGTCGCACCAGTCAGTCAATTACTTTTGTTTCATTGTTTGGGCCTAAAGAGTTCCACACCCCGATAATAACTCTTGATCAATGGCCACAGCTTCCCGTCTAAAGATGTTTGTTCAATCCAAATGGGAGGGTTTATGTTGATCACGCGTCTCCACGACAGTGGTGCAGCCATCCCAAGGTCTGAACATGTCCGAACAAAAACTCTCCCACACGGGTCTCCCCAAGTCAACCTCGAGCGTCCGAACTGCGTTCGACTTGGTCCCTGAGCTCAGTTTCTGTTCCCAGGAACAAGGACGCTACGGGTAGTACTGTATAGTTACTAGGAACCAGCACGCGCCCAAAAGCTACCAAAAACCGGAGCGGGACCTTCAGACCGCCACACCCACCTACGAGCGCTCTCCGGGCCGCTCGTAACTGCTATCGTAACTCTGGGAGTCCAGTCGACTCTAAAAAGAAGGGTCTTTTGGTGCGAGTCTAGGAATGTCGAACGTCCGCAATACTTCAGTCAGTCCAACATATCGTCTATCCCTGGGACTTCTAGGGGTAACAAGGACGCCCAAAAAGCCGCTCCTGGCGGGGTCCTGGTGGGAACTCCGAGAGCTGCTGATCTGGTCACCGGTCCGACCCGAGCCCCCCCCCGGTCGACCGGCGTGGTGTCGAGCTCGGGGAAAAGACCCGTTGCCGTCGCGTAGCTGTAGCGAAACTCCACTGTGACTGAGAATGGAATAGAAGGCAGAATCGAAGAAGAGGACACCTCCCCCAAATCCATTGGCCAAAAAAGCTCTTCATTTGCGGGGGGTTGAATAGGGTCGCCTCTCTGGCCCAATGTATGATTCAGTCAACAGGTCATGTCTAAGACACACCCATAACATAACTACCCAAGGATAGGACCTTCAGAAGGCCCGACAGTTCACCCTGAATCAGGAGCGTCATTGCTCAAGAACTCCCCCACGCAGGCGCGAGTTTTTACATGGCGAAAGCAACGATCGGTGTTTGTTTCTGAGTGGTAGAGGAACACGTTAATACGACCTGCTGAAAGTGAAAGTGAACACCCTGGGAGTCCAGTCGACTATCAAAAGAAGGGTCTTTTGGTGACACGAGGAATGTCGAATGTCCGCAATACTAACTTCAGTCAGTCAAAGTATAGTCGAACTGGACTTCTAGGGAAAAGGTAGAGGAAAAATAGATGGAAGAACGATCTGTTGGGACCTCTTCGAGTTCCAGATCCCTGTTTGATCGGGGAATGATTCGCCTGTTAGCCGTACTGCTTGGAAACATCATCCTCTCTCAAGCGTATCAAAGCGAGATGAATTCGATTCCCTACCATTGATTCAATAGCCTACACAGCCTATATACAATCTATCCTATACCACTGCTATACCGAGCAACCATTTGTTTTACACTACAAACCAGGTCAACCATTTTTCAATGGTCGTTGAAGGCCAGGGTATACATCCCGGCGGCCGACCATCCACCCGTCTCATGGCCTTGTGTCGAGCCGACGTCGCGATCCCATGGGACCGGGGTAGTGAAGAGACACTCCTGGACGATTCATAGACACACCTGGCGATTTCCCGGAACCGCTGCAAGGTGGCCAAAGGGGTTACAGCGAACAGCGAACGTCGACCCTTTCTTTTGGGGGGGGCAAAAATTGACCTCTGCGCACTTTCCGCCCCTTTTCCTTTCGTTTCGTCCGTAATCTTCTCTCCGCGCGTCCAGGCACCGTCGCTGAAGAACTGAGCCGCTCGGCCAGGTCTTTGTTTTTGGGAGTCAGCGTGAGGGCGTTTCGACAGTTCCTATGATCGTGGGTTTGGGTGGTGAGGTCCTTGACCCAGAACAGACATCAGAGATCATCAGAGTAAGTAGACTAGAGACCTTATAGGGTGGACAAGAGATGTTGGGACAGCTTAAATGTTCGTTGCCTTTGGGACCTTGTGAAGTTGTGACCCTGACGAACCGCCCACCCCCCCTAAGGACGAACCGGATCTTTTTGTGGCTTTTTTGCTTCGTTTTTCC